CCTGCCACCCTGCCACCCTAATAAGATAGATCGCCGGCGAGCCTGCCACCCTAAGATAGATCGCCGCCGGTTGTACCTTCCTTCCTTTCCTTCCACCGAACTTGTTTCTTCCTCCAAAAATCGACTGGCCCAAATCGCAAATTCAGCCGACTTACATATAGCCATTGCGGGCAAATGTAACAGCCTAACTTTATGCATGGTAGTCAATTAATCGTGTAGGCACCGACAAGAAAAGAAAGCTAATCAGAAGCAATTATGAAGGGAGAGAAGGGTTTGCGCGTCATTCTATCCTATATAGAGACCTCTTCTATATATGGAGGGCAGAAAACAAAATAAAAATTGATTGACTGCAAACAAGAGCCAGAGAAGCAACCACTCTGCATGCTGGTAGCAGCTAGAGAGCCGCGCAAGAAAGAAACACCACCAAAAAGAAGCAGGATATATAGCCGGCCATCGTACGTTATTTACAGCCAGTCAAGAGGGCCAGAGTTAACAACTGTTACTGCCACGCATTTACCATTACTATTTTGCATGCTTGCTCGCGGCAGCTGGCTGGGCAGGATGTGAGGAGATCGAGTGTAGACCTAGCCAAGCGGTAGCAGCAGCGCCAGTACACTACCTCACTCTCCTTCTATATATGTCCCTCCTTCTGCACCCCCTGCCTTAGCCTTTGAAGCAACCACTTCACAAGGTAATGTGCATATCACCACCACCGCCGCTGGTAGCTAGCTAGTAGTACTACTCCTCCCCTCCTGTCTCTCCGTTCTTATGATCCGTGCCGGAAAGAATGCCCCCTTTGTTCCTCGCAAATTTAGTGAAAAATTCCACTTTAGCCGGAGCATCCACCTCCTAGTTCTTTGGTTCCTCGCAAATTATGAGAGTGCTGCATCCGGCCTTTTTAGCTAGCTCCGCATGATTTTCTTTCTTCTGCTTGTGCGATTGTGTTGTTCGATCAGATCCAGCTAGTTTGACTAATGCATCAGAGAGCGCCAGCTCGTGAAGACGATTAACCCACGTTGTTCTTGTTGTTGCTGCAGCAGACGGGAGAGAGACCAAGGGGCCGGCCGGAGACGCGCAAAGCCATAGCTTGGTTCCTGTTTGCATCGATCGTTGCGGTTGCGGAGATGGGTCGCGGGAAGATCGAGATCAAGCGGATCGAGAACGCCACGAACCGGCAGGTGACCTTCTCCAAGCGCCGGGGCGGGCTGCTCAAGAAGGCCAACGAGCTCGCCGTGCTCTGCGACGCGCGCGTCGGCGTCGTCATCTTCTCCAGCACCGGCAGGATGTTCGAGTACTCCAGCCCCGCCTCCAGGTCCGTCTTTCTTAATTTGTTCCCCTCTCTTCATCGATCTGCCACGTGCTTCTTTCTTTCGACTACTTTGGAGAACCGGATCTACTAGCAGCTCGTTAGTATATGTTTCTTTTACTCTAGCATGGGGTCTTCTACCTTTTAGTATGATTTTATTACGATCTGTTTAGGGAGAGTGGTGTTGTTCGTCTTTTTTTTTTGTCGAATATGCACGTCATCGTAAGCCTGGATTTGCTGGTCTGTGTGGATCAAGTTAATTGTGTGTGCTAATCTGTCAGCAAAGCACACATGCTGTGTTCTTATTCCGAGATGATAGTCAAGCTCATTATTCAGACAGATCGATGCTGAATTTTTGTTCATAACAACATGCATGTACACGCGTACGTGTCAGCTAGCTGCTTATATTAATTAATTCAGCGGACATGCATGAAGACATTTATATGATCATAAGTTACGGTTTTGTAGTGAATCCATGAAACATCACTATGAAGAACACCATTTTTTTAGTAGAAGCTAGGGCTTGTTACTGTAGATCTGGTGCAGCTGGCTCCAAGTCTCCAACAGATGGTATCCTAGTTCCTAACTAAACCTGTTCAGTCATTCACATGATAGATGCATGGCATGCATCAAGAAAATGCACAAAACTGAACTAATTTCCCAGATGATGTTCGCCAACAATTAGACCCTGTTTTACATGAAATTACTGACAAAGTATAACTGAATTAAGTAGATGCCGCTAGCCATCACAAGCAAACTAGTTAACTGAATTATGTAACTAACATACTTGTTCTACTATCCGATGATGTAGCTTGAGGGATCTCATTGAGCAGTACCAGAACGCCACCAACAGTCAGTTCGAGGAGATTAACCACGATCAGGTAAACACAAGCACAACCAAAAATCACTTATTACTACTGCTAGTAATTAATTTGCCTGCATTCTGCAAATCTACAAACTGACTGCGCACTGGGAAATTTATACTATTTGTTATGCATGGATGGATGCAGCAAATATTTGTGGAGATGACACGGATGAGGAACGAGATGGAGAAGCTGGATGGCGCCATCCGGAGGTACACGGGCGACGACCTCTCCTCCCTCTCCCTCGCCGACGTCAACGACATCGAGCAGCAGCTCGAGTTCTCCGTCGCCAAAGTCCGTGCAAGAAAGGTAAAAAGGGCAACGCAGGCCAGGATATGAACTGGTTACTTTTACTTCCTTGCAGCACATGAACTACTACTATTTAGGAACTAGTTCCATCGTCCATTTACTGCACTAATTACCCGGCTAATTCATATGTGTGTTACTGCCGTGTTCTTGGCTTGTTGCAGCATCAGCTCCTGAACCAGCAGCTCGACAACTTACGTCGCAAGGTATATAACG